CATACTTTGTTAGCCCCCTTTTACCCTGTTCTTCAGTGGTCAGGACCCCCATGGACCACCACAGAGCAGGTAGTATTTGGGTGGTGGATCATTTTCAGCACTGCAGTAACACTGACGTGGTGGTGGTGTGGGTTGCGCTGTTCTGAGCGGATCAGACACAGCAGTGCTGCTGGAGTTTTTAAACACCTCAGTGTTGCTGCTGGACTGAGAATAGTCCACCAACCAAAAATATCCAGTCACCAGCGTCCTGTGGGCAGCGTCCTGTGACCAGCGTCCTGTGACCACTGATGAAGGACCAGAGGATGACCAACACAAACTGCGCAGCAGCGGATGAGCTTTCGTCTTTGACTTTACATCTACAAGGTGGACTGACAAGGTAGGAGTGTCTAATAGAGTGGACAGTGAGTGGACACAGTGTTTAAAAACTCCAGCAGCACTGCTGTGTCTGATCCACTCGTACCAGCACAACACACATGAACACACCACCACCACGTCAGTGTTACTGCAGTGCTGAGAATGATCCACCACCCAAATAGTACCTGCTCTGTGAGGGTCCACTGAAGACCAGGGAAGAACAGGGTAAAAGTATGCAGAGAAACAGATGGACTACAGTCTGTAACTGTAGAACTACAAAGTGAACCTATATAGTAAGTGGAGCTGATAAAATGGACAATGAGCATAGAAACAAGGAGGTGGTCATAATGTTATGCCTGATCGGTGTATATCTAACAGAAAAATACAATGAAGCCTCAACAACTAAATACTACATGAATTGTTTCAGTATTTAATGTGTCCACTCTTTACCTTTATTACTGCTTCCAATCTTTTCAGGATACTTGTTTTCAGTTTCTCAAAGAAATCTGCAGGGATATTTTTCCACACCTCCGAAGTTCAGTCTTAGAAGTTGGTTGCATTTTCTGCTTCTCATGATCCAAATGATCTCAAACACATTCCATGATGTTGAGGTCTGGACTCCGAGGTGGTCCAGTTATTCTGAGAACATCAGCAGCTTCTTTGTTTGGTTTGATTTTCTTTTTTTGTCTCTTTCCTTTTTTCAGTAAGAGCTTCTTGACAGCTACACATCCTTTCAGACCCATAGCGCTGAGTTGTTTTTCCACAGTGGAAGGATGGACAGAAATTTTTCAGATCTGAAGTTTTTAATTATTTTATTTTGATCTTCAGTTTTGGAAGCTCCTGGGTTTTTTTTTGGCTTATTTTCCTTTGAACTTCACCTTCTGTATGCAAGTGGATTAACTTATATGCAATCCTTGCAAAAAAGAAATAACTTGTACCTAATGACTGTGTTGACTGGAAATTAAAGGAAGTGTGGTCTCTTATTTTGGAATAGTCCTGCAGTTTATATTGTTGAAAAGAGGCACTTAGAGGCATTCGGTCTCATCTGCTGATCTCCAGAAGTGTTCTCTCATGCCTGCAGAAAAGATGTGCCTTTCACACTGAACAGTGGTTGATAAATAAAAAGTTGTGAATCTTCTGGCTCTCCTTCTGTGATGTGCAGTGCCAGAGGACTGAAGAGTCCTTACATTTTATATGGTGATGGTAATAAAAATAGAGATGCTACAAATGATCAAATGCTAATGTTTAAACAAACTGGAGCAAGAGGGTGAAATGAGTTTATTACTGACATAATGCAGCATTTGAACTTTAAAGTGAAAGTGAGTTGGAGTGCAGTTTGTGATCCAGACCTAATCATCCAACATCGGTACCTGATCTCACTAACGCTCTCATGGTTGATAGTATAACAGAACTACACTGATTGTCTTTCCCATTTCCCCTCTACTTTGTGATTGGAGGATCACTGCTGGTGGAGTAGCGGAAGTGAATACCCAGAGATGGTCTTGAGTCAATTCAAATGAGTGAAGTCTCAAGACTTGGAAGAGAAATTTAGTTTTTTAGGTTTTCGTTAGTGACTGTCAGGTTCGACATGACTTAAAATAACAAGCTTTTCGTTAGGATTAGAAAAACCTTCAGTCTGACAGAGCTGAAGTTCCTACATGAGCCGTGTCGCAAAGCTAAGGATGCAGCCGAGGAAGGCTGCAATTCTCAGACATTACGTCACTGAAGGGTGTGTAAAGTTCACTTAACACCTAAAATTTTTAAACATAAGATTTAAATGTGTCGTGTTGCTTACATCAGTAAGTTGTGACGCGTCAGTACAGGCTGTTCGGGTCGCCTTAAGTGTGCGTGAGTGAACACAATGAAGAGAAGCCTTTGTACACCAATGCTAGAAAGAGCTCTCCTGCCTCGACAGCTTTGAGACGCGGCTATGCAGTAAATGCGTTGTTTAAAAGAAAGAAGCAAAACAACGGTTGACTAGTCTGTAGACTTTTGTATAACAAAAATGCAGTCAATGCTAATGAATCGTAAATATTAAACATGTTCAAAATTTCATACTCATTATTAGGGGTGCGGAAAAAATCGATTCTTAGATGCATCGCGATGCAGATGTGAACGATTCTGAATCGATTCATAAATGTCAAAAATCGATTTTCTAAATATTTAATTTATAAAGTAACGTTGACGGAACGCAAAAGGCGGAACTTGGAAGTGCGGAAGTGCAGCGCCCGGACAGTCTGTGGCGGCACATAACAAAAACACAAGTGGATGAGTGAGAAATCCGACCGGCTCCCTCTGCACTAAAGCCAGGTTAGGTCAGGAGTCACAACACAAATGATAAGAAGAGCCATTTTGACCTTTCAACAAAATCAAACCACCTCGGGAGCCGCAACATTTAATGTCCAGTATGTCTCAGTGTGTGATAATGTCCTAGTATAGACTAAATAATATAAACGAGAGCGCAGATTTACTTTTCTCTGCTTTAAGCTTCGCCTACAGCCGCTTTCCTCCCATCTCCGCCAGAAAACCCTTCCTCAGTAGATCAGTTAAATGTCTCTCAGCGTTCGACTGTTTTACGAGGCTGAAGTCGCTTCTTATTCTCCAGCTTCTTGTTCGAATTTTTCCGTTCCACCTTAAATTCTAACATTTAAGGTGGAACGGGACAATTCGAAAGAGAAGCGACTTCAGCTTCGCCACTTTTTAGTGTTTGACAGTCACTCGTTGCAGATTTAACGGAAACCAACTGCGCTGCTTATAAATGCGAATAATGCATCGCTGCTTTGTGACCTGCAGTCCGCACGGCGGGTCTCAGTCATTGTGAAACAGGGCTTTTGCGCTATGCTGCACACGACCCGTCTCAAAGATACTTCACTGACACAGTGTATATTTTGTGTATATTTAATATATTTCGGTTGGTTTTTCTTGTATTTTTATTTTTACTTATTTACTTTCTGTAAAGCGATTAGCTGAGCCTCACCACAAGCATTTCAATGCATAAATGTCCTGACATGCTGTGCAAATGACAAATAAACTTGAAACCTGAACTCAAAACTTGAGCTCACACAGTGAGAAAATATAAATGCTATATAGAAAAAAAAAGATGCATTGAGATGCATCAATAATCGTTTTATAATCGCATCGCAGCCCTCTGAATCGTAATCGAATCGAATCGTGAGGTGCCTAATATTCCCACCCCTACTCAGTATCCTGTAGCGTGGGGTGGACGCCGATTCTTGGGTGTGAAACGCGATGTTGACGTCATGCCGGAAAGAGCATCAACCAATGAGAGCTGAGCTAAATGCTCAGTCTGTAATTGTAGAACTACAAAGTGCACCTATATAGTAAGTAGAGCTGACAAAATGGACAATGAGCATAGAAACAAGGGGGTGGTCGTAATGTTATGCCTGATCGGTGTATTTTACTTTATGAATGTGCTTATTTAAATACACAGACATGTAGTAATGCAATCACACCTTGATGACACAATAACCACAATCCCTAGTCAAAAAATGACTTTGATTTCACAAATTACATCATGCCAGGGTGTTGACCCATCTTCCACAATAGTTTTCCTCTCTCTCACAAAACTGAAAGACCACACATGTCTCAGTTACAACTAAGACAATTGTAATTGAGATACAATATGGCTCTGCTTGGTCCCTATAATACTACCTGTGTTCCAGAACCCACAATAGAACATAAGAACAGGAAATGTGAAGTGTTATGACGCAAAACCCACCAAAGCACATCGTGAAATGAGTCATCCCTTTCAAAGATTGCTATCAGTGGGGAAACCAGAGGAACCACAACCAAAATTAAGCCTGCGCTTGTTTGTACATAGAGTTGTGAAGCTAATGCATAAATTCAAACCCAATTTAATTATGATAAGTTCATGTGAAATATAATTAGGATTCAGATTTAGATTTTTTTTTTTTTTTCAGAAAAATGCAAAAGCAAAGGTTCAAACAGTGTCTGCACCACCAAAGGTGATACTTTTGCAGAAGTAAAGTATTCTGAATTTCTGAATTGCACAGCCAGTGATGCAAAATACAATAAATGCACACTGAATGACTCATATGGAACGTCATTTACTGACAAAGAGAAGTGTAGTCCCTGTGGGTTATTCAGCTCGGGAATGGTACTCAAGACCAATGAGGTGTAAGGAGTATAGTAAGCACTCACCAGCACATCTTAATTATATTCTTCATTTACAATTAATCCAACATGTTCTGATGAAGCATCTTAATCCATAATTTATTATGAAGGGATGCCATATGAGAGCATTTGTCATTCTGTCCTGTTATCTGACACCATTTAGCATGATCTCTCATGACAGGCCATGCCAAACCTAAACTATAGGTCATATAGTATTGTTATATTTTAACAAAGCTTGCATAATGTTGCCATATCTATTTATACCTTTAGATGCTTCAGCTCCAGCCCATTGACTTCTATTATGAGTCTGTTTCAAACCAACTGATTTTCTGTTCCATTGTTAAGTGCTGACTCTAGCAGATAGAGATTAGCTTGAAAAATATTGAAGCATTCCTTTAACTGAGCCTATCCAATCTCTTGCATTGATACAGTATCTAACTAGCGGTGTGGGTGGGCCACAGAGCTGAGTAGCCTGGGGGTCTGACTCTTACTGTAGTGTCCACGCTGGTGACCTTGGTTGTGGGGACGTGTTTTGGAGTTGGATCTTTGGACTGCAGCACCACGCAGCCCTGAGGGCCCAGAGTAATGATGACTGAAGCACATCCTCTCTTCAGCAGTTCCAGGCCGACGCGCCCCGCATCCTCCACTGACGCTACCGGACACCCTGTCAGCAGCTCAGCCTACAGGGTGGAAATTAGCCAGAGAGATGACTTTACTTCCTGAACTACAGTAAACTTTTGTAGACATTTTTTATACTATGTGGTTAAAGTGCTCATTCTCAGATCTTAATAAAAGGTATTTTTAAACATTTTAGTTTTACCATGTAAAAATTACAGCATGTTTTATGCATTTTTATACAGTGTTATGTGCAATACACAAATAAAAGTACTCTGGAAAATGCTTAATCCAGCCTTGTTATTGCTTAGTAAAGTTGTAATAAACAGACAGTTACTGCTACATTACGTAAGTTTTGGGGATTTGGAGACCTCTCTGGGGAAAATGTGTAATTGCACACAACATGCAGGAGAACATTTTGTAATGTGGGTTGTGCTTCAGACCTGCTTTCCCAAGTGGATGAACATGGTCTGAATAACCTCAGTGAAATCTGACACAATGCCTCTTACTTTTAAATTCTTATTTCGGGCATTAGAGGGAGGCGTGTTTTTTTTCTCCTGACTCAGTAGTCAGTAATATGACTTCTTTCATCCTTAACAAAACAATCTTACATAGCGCAACTATAAATACCTACTACTGGCTTGATAAGGCTTAATAAGAGCATTACATTGCATTATAGACTGATTGAGTTACAATAAATCTGATTTTTTTTATGCCAAACTGTTCCTTATCTTTAAAAGTAAGAACAAGAAAGAGCCAATTTACCACATTTAGGAGTGCATTACTAAGATCACTCATATACCATATGGGGGCAGTCATGGGCTGGAGGTTAGGGAACCAGCATTGTCACCGGAAGGTCGCCAGTTCGATCCCCTGAGCTGACAGTATGTGACTGAAGTGCCCTTGAGCAAGGCACCAAACCCCAACTGCTCCCTGGGCGCCGTCGATAGGGCTGCCCACCACCCTGGGCAAATGTGCTCACTGTCCCCTAGTGTGTGTGTGCATTCACTAGTGTCTATGTGGTGTTTCACTGCATGGATATGTTAAAATGCGGAGGTGAAATTTCCCCATTGTGGGACTAATAAGGGTCACTTAACTTTATGTACAAACATTTCGCTGCTGCTGGAACAAAACCTCGTATCTCCATTTTTGTCACTTTTTTATTTTTTGACATAATGTGAAAATGCCTTTTGCCTTTTACATTGTGTGCAAATTCCATAATGAATGGACCAAAAGAAATAGTTGAAAATTACTTGGACAACAAGTCTGGTTCCATTGACTTACATTAAAAGTGAATTATGTTTTTTCCTTCTCCTGTAAAGTTACCATTTCAGAGATACGAGGTTTTGTCCCAACAGTAGCAATATACATATAAAAATTCATCCTGTTATCTGTTAAACAGACAGAGGAACCATGCAACATTTCATGGTGAAAGACCCTGATCAGAGGGTGACATTATGCAGAGCAAAGCGTTCTGCCCTGATGCTGTCACAGACCACACAGATGGACACCTGGAGACTACATGGTATCACTTAAATGTGAGGAGATACGCATCAGAGATCTTGAAGTCCCGGCAGAAAGCAACCCTTTTATATTTGTGTATTTTAGATACTGCCCTTACACCTCTCTCTGACTTCATGCCAGAACAGAATGTCACTCAGATTACTCATCTTTTGTAGGGTGATCTATCCGCCTCCCAATTATTCATCTTTCGCTGCTGCAACTAAAGTCAGTGGATGAAAGAAAGATTTGTCAGCGAGCGTGTGGAAGACTAAGGGTGATGTGTACAGTGGAGCTCTCACTTTCAAGTCCCACCTGTACATTTTCCCTTCTCCAGCCTGTCTGCCACATCAAAGTGGCCCTAACGGAGCACTCTGCTTCTGCTCCCAGTCATAGCAGCCCTTTTTTGCCACGGGCCAAAGTGACTCACCGGCCATGCATCTGTTTTTCTTTGTGAAGCCAATTTTTTTTTTCTTTTTCTTTAACTGTTTCCCATCAATCCAAGCCCTCATCTGTCATCTTGCGTAGCCAAAGGTGTGATAGAGGGTGGTTCCAAACACTCCAGTTACCGTAAGTGGGAGAAACAACCCCCCCCCCCGACATTTCCCACTCGGCCGACAAGAAATCTTCAGCCTCTTGTTTTGTTACAGGTCATGACCAGGTAGCACAATTACTTCTGTGCCTGTCTCAACACAGTGACCTCCACTGATTCAAAACCCTGAGGGGAATATTTCAGTCTCTACTTGTTGCATCACTTTATTTGCTTAATGTCACTTAAGCTAGTAGGAAAAATTCAGTAGAAAAAAAATTTAAAATACACACATTTCCCCTCGCCTGAAATGTGTGATGACCAGCCAAGACATGTTTGGCATCCAAAGTTACTGTTCTTAGGTTTTGCACTGGAACTACTGGCCTAATGTAGCTAACAAATAATGTAGCAATGCAATGTAGCTAGCAAGTAAAGTTTGCTATGCCAATTAGCACAGTGCATAATTCATGCCTAAATCATCATATTGCTAAAGTATCCTTAAAGTAGGCATTTAAATCATGAAAAATATCTATGCTGAGCAATAAATATTTGTATGTATTATTGTTATGCCTTAGAAAATACTAATAGCATAGGAGCATCCCTAGACCGTCACACTAGGGCTAGGATTTTATCCTCAAAAGAGTCGATTCTCCGATTTCATGTGGGAAACAAGAGTCAAAGCTGTGGAATCCATTCCACATAGTGATATTCAAGTTTGCTCACAGCCACACATATACATTAACATAAGTCATTATAATTAAATTGTGAGGACTGACTTTGAAGAATAACAAATAGTTATTCTATAGTTATTCTTTTAAGTTAAGATGTCAAGATCCCTTCATTTATGCCATTAATCATAATAGTGTATTAAATATTATGCTCTTTATGTTCGCTACATGTCCTTCTCCAGGTCTTGGTTTCTGGAACTAAGATTATTATTGACTCTTGGAATCGACTTTATTGATTCTCGTCATTTGGAATTGGACGATTGGAATTGGTCGACACCCACAATTTCGGGAATCAAACAGCCCTACTTAATACTCACTGACTTCTCTCACTCAGTTTTGAGTCCTTCTAAATTAAATCAGTGGAGCATCAGCAGGCCAGAATCAAACCTGTGGTGTGGTGTGTGAAGCTGTGACATGCTAAGCCCGCACACCCCGCTACTGGAATATCTCTATAAACCATACTTGACTGTTTATCAGATAGACGTGAAATGGGTCACTATTTTAAATGATATTTTAAACGCAATTTAAATGCAATTTAAAATACAATTTTAAACACTAGCATTTTTTGTCTATTTTAACAAATTACTAACTGCAGACTTGTAAACTTTTCCAACACTGAGTTAGCTGAGCCAGCACAGGCATGTTCTGTAGATGTCACCATGCTGTAATCCTCTCATCAGCATCCTTTATTATATTGGGCCATGTTAGGTTCAAGCTTATATGTGACATACATCATATGCGAGAAAGCTGGTGTTTTCAATGGAAAATGTAAACTCTGTGAAAAACAGGAACTCTTGGTCTACTCTTATTGTTATTGATAGTATTATTATTATTAATAGTTTTTTTTGCTGACTTATTACTATAAATAAGTCTATAAGTGAGAAAAAAAAAAATATATATATATGTATATATACACACGTATGTATGTGTATATATATATGTATACATACACATAATGTGTATATGTATATATGGGTCATTCTACAGAAATGTCCATGTTTATGCCCCTAGCATTTATAGATGTATTACGCTTGAAAAACATGTTACAATTTATTTATATTTTTAAAATAAAACAATAAGTTATTTTAACTATTACACCTTCTTTAGATATCAATTTAGCAATATTGTTTTTTAAATCAATTAGATCGAATTCCAAGAAAAGTCCTTGTCCTCACAGTCATGTGTAAAGGGTGAGGCCATATTTTGAAGTAAAAAACATGCAATTTTATTTCTGCTATTTTAGTTGCAATAATCTATACATGACTATGAAAATATATGATTTAAATGACATAAAGAAAACAAATGCCAAATAAATATTATAAAATATATAATGAAAGTTGGTGTTACTGGTGTTACTGCATAGCAAAATATCTTATATTTTGAAATAAAAATCACACTGATTACATCACTTGATTTCCTTTTGCCTATTTTCTGAGGAACTATGAAGAAAAGCACAAGGTAAGTCCACTGTGTCTTTTCAGTTATCAGAAATGTTCTCATTTAGCTCATGATTTCATATGAAGCTTTTAGCTGAAGTCACTGGTATGACCTACTTTATTCTTAGGTAACTATGAAAAAATAGAATACCAACGGATGTTTCAGTTTATATGTCTGTCTGTCTGTCTGCCCTGCGATGGACTAGCGACCTGTCTAGGGTGTTTCCTGCCTTCTGCCGAATGACCGCTTGCTGGGATAGGCTCCTGCTCCCCCCACAACCCAGAAGGATAAGTGGCTTAGAAAATGTGTGTGTGTGTGTGTGTGAAATATTTTAGTGGATATTCCATGATTGACAACATGTGGTTTGATGCTCTGTAGCAGCCATTTTGTAAAATGCATTTGTCATTAAAAAATGTCACTGTATATATGGGTCATTCTACAGAAAAGTCCATCTTTTTATCTATCCATAGGAGTCATTGGTGTTACCAGTCCTCACTGGTGTTACACATAAGAATGGTAACACCAGTGACTCCCATGGATAGATAAAAAGGTGGACTTTTCTGTAGAATGACCCATATATACACACACATATACACATACATATACACACACATGCATGAGTGTCGTGCGTTTCACCTCAGACTCATTGCAGCAGAAGATGTCAGAGGCTTTGTAGAAGTCAGCATGGAGGTCAGAAATGGCAGGGGCAGGGTTGAATATGGTCATCACTGTGGACAACACAAAAGGTAATTTTGGGACAAATCCAAGCACTTATTCATTTCAGAAAAGGTTTTTACTATTTATGTGACACTGCCACATTACAGGTATGACTTGAAAGGAAACGACCGTTCAGATACAGATGACGCATCGCATGAACGTCACACAGTACTCAGTATGAAACTTGGTCGGTGCCCCCTGTACAAATTTCACTTGATCTCGGCCTTTCTCCATTCCCTCGAGAACGGTAGTTTCGGTATGATGTAAGTGACAAGTAGTCACTTCCCTGTCCTTTGCAAAGTGCTCGGCAAACCACATAAGAAGCTGTGGCAACCAAAACGTCGTCACCTTCCCCTTCTGCAACAAGACTTCTCATTTCTGAAAGCTGATACATAGCTCATCTTCGCATTCAGGTGCGTGTATGTTAATGTATTTGCAAACTAAGACCCTTTTCATATTATATATGAGATTTGTTCAATTAACCATATCATCACAACCTGGAAAACCTTTTTTTTTATTTGAAAATGTCACTGCCTTTTATACTGCATGATGAATGGTCCGGTAAAAATAGTCCACTTGGAATAAAATCCCATTATATTAATGTACATTAACATTAAGGATGTTTTTTGCTTCTCCTAAAAAGCTACCATTTTGGAGAGAGTGACGATATAGTCCAATCGCGATTGCCATCAGCCCTCTTAAAATCTTTTAGTCTGAAACTAAGTGCATGTGTCACGACACAGTTCATTCTTTCATCTATTCTCATTAGCTCTCAAATGCATTCCCACCATATCACTCATTGATGTCATAAGCAAATGTAGTGCCTCATCACTGCTTTTACGCACTACAGTGGTCAAAGGGACCAAAACCAAAGAGCTGGTAATAAAAAGCATCTATCATACAATCTTCCTCTCTCTCTCTATCTCGCTCACATAGAGCAGAAATGAACTCTCATATCTTTCCCTTGACACTGCAGGTGTTATTACACACATCTGGTTTCTGACGTGCATTGGACAGAGTTATGGTGGGGGGGGGTAACCACGGAGACTGAGTAATGTCTGAGATGTGAAATGCTTACAGTTGGTCATGCTCCACACTGAGCCTACCATGAGCCCCTTGATCAATAGCAGTCCTGCTAACCAACCCCAAGACTACTAACCCCCCTCAATGTTCATAATGCATTTGATGGCGAAAGCTCTCCCCACTCCCACTCCTCATGCACATTGATTTAGTCACTGGAAATGGAGACATTAACAAAATGCCACTGAGACAAACTGAGACCAGTAAAGAAAAGGTCAATATGTAGCGTAGAATATTGCATATGTTGAAGAAAAGGGAAAGGCACTTAGAAGCACATGCACTTATGATGAGTTAGTGAAGCCTGAGATATCCAGAGAGCATTCAAGTGGCTCTAATTACGTCTTAGATGCATGAGAAGAAAAGAAAAAACAATGCTAAACCATTTGCTAGGTCCGGATTCTACATCTTGCTACTTAGAGACCTGTGAAATTACATGTTATCCCACAACTTTGCTTTCTGAAGGGATCAAAATTATCTATCTACACAGCATACTTGTGAATTAATGGGAAATGTGCAACCAGAACAAAGTCCAATTTTCTCCCGGTAAGCCTGTGGAGGTGGCATGTGCGTAATCCAAGCCTTGAGCCGTGGCTAAGTGCTATTCACACACGTCACTGCCTGACGAATCCATCCCAAGTGATATGCACATAATCTGGGCTAATAGCCCAATTCTCACTAGTTGATATGGTCTGCTAATGCTGCCACTGGCGTGTTCCTGGACAGTACTGAGGTGATGAGTGTTGGGGTGTGATGGCAGGGGGATGGAGGTGGAGGGGGGGGTAGAGGGGATGTGGGTGACCATCTGTGGTGCCCATCTGTGGACGAGTCATGCCACATTGCGGTGCATCTCCAAATTAAGAGAGGAGGGCGTTTTCCGATCAGCGGGGACCTGATTAGATAATGACGTTAATGATGTTTGTACACAAGCAGTGGGATTTTCCATGGGGGATTTAGAACACGCAGTTCTTATTCATTTTTTGGACAAAACAAAACAAAACAAAATAAATATCACGAGCCTGGAGGAAAGGGACTTCACAAAACTGAGTCAAAGGAGTCGAGTCAAAGGACTTGCTGCGTTTAGAGATAGGGGAGAAAGAGATGTTATCTGTTCTTTTCAAAAGAGTCAGCTGAAGAACAACCAGCGGCCTCCTGAGGCAGGATTTCTTGCGTAGCCAGCTAACTTTAACTGGACTTTCTGTCTCACTAAGGTGGATCACTTTTTATTAGGCTTCATCGCCATAGCAACATGCTGCACACACCTAATTTGGTCCAGGGCTGGTGAAGTTTAGGATTACAGATCATAAACAGCTCTTGGATTGACCAGTGTCAACCTGCCTGTGGAGACGGACACCTTGTCATACTTTTCAGGTCTTTTTTTAGTTTTTTTGAGAATTGTTGCAAGTTATTAGCTTTTAATTTGTTTTACAGTACACATAAAAGCAAGACATCTAAAAAAATAAAAGTATATGGCATAGCAACAACAACTACCTCTTTGTGAATGTCAATCACAAAATATAAAATCACTTTTCAGGAGAGGGAATAAATGTAAATGTAAAGCAAATACTAGGCTAGAAGCATTAAAGGGCCCATACTCTATGTAATTCTTGTACATTATTTTTCCCTTGAGGTCCACTTGTACTACTACTGTGCCTTTAAGACTGATAAAAGATCTGTTCTGATTGGCTGCTCTGTATTGTATCTCATTCATGAAGCACTCAGAGCTGAAACACACTTCACTGTGAATGGGTGGAGCTAAACTGCTGTAGGCTGAATAGGTGGATAGATATAAATAAGGTGGTACTTGTGACATCACAAAAACAGTGCATTCAAAAGCTTAGTTTCCATTATTATATGGACTGCATAGACTTGGTAGTGAATAGTATGATCTGAAGCTTCAAACTCCTTTATATATAAAAGCAAGGGAAACAGGGTTTTCCATGATATGAGCCCTTTAACATGCGGTGGCAAAACTGACAGTGTTGCTTTTTATTACAAATGCTTTACTTTATACATTTTTACATACCATGGCTTATTTTTCCTTACTTGAAAAAGGAGCCACTCTAGTCATGCTTTCATGTGCATTCGTATGAGAATTACTCACAGCCTGGATCTAAATCTGGGTTAACAGAGAAAGCTGTTAACCACCATTCTAACACAAGTTTACTGTAACTACAGGTTTTGTGAGGCTGAAACTTAGCCAGGAACCATGACAGTTGAATGTGCTTCATGAGAAAGACCTCAGAGGAAAGACAGGAACTCAGCCAGTGTGACAGACAGGATGAAATAATGAAAGATAGATAGACATGAGAAGAGACCAGGGATGGGACGGCTGCTAGTTGTAATGATATACTGTCATATAAAACCAAATGATAATCATACTGGTTTCAATTTTAATAATTCAGATAGTGGCGTATGATTACAGTTTTTAGAAAGTTACAGAAGTAGTAAATAGCCCTGCTGCTACACCTGCCAGGACAACACATGTTAACATGGTTATAATATGAAAAATAAACAATGAAGAAATATTTCTTTAAATTGTAGTCCACTTTTGGTATCACAAAGAAACGTTCAGGGCTCAAGAGAAGTCTCCGGTGTTATAAAAAGACTCAATATGTCACACATCCGGCATGTTCTCAGAGAGACATGGACTCCATCTCCCAGACTCCTCTGGGAGATCACATGACTTCTGACTCTCTATCACATTCCTATCAGCGTTCTCAGTCACCCGAATACTAATATGTTTCACCTGTGTGTGCAGTCATATGATTCGTAGTTTAGTATATAAGCCCGGGCTTTAGTCATGTCTAGTTGCGAGGTATTGTTTCACTGTAAACTACTGAGTGCTCTTCATCATTGTTTGTATCCTGTTTTTGACCGTTTGCCTTGTTTTTTGACTCTGCCTTTTTGCTCAACCCCTTTGTAGTTTTGCTGGACTGTGTTTTGATTTGTGTTTTGACCTTTTGCCTGCCTCTACGACTACGTCTTTTGCCTTACCCTTTTGTGTTTGTTTGTCTGGTGTTATGCTTATCGTAACACTTCTGCTGGGTTTGCTGGATTTGACCATTGCCTGTTCTCTGACTACGCTTTTGGATTTTGATTCTGGAAGTAAACCTGATACTCTCCTTTTTATCCGCGAGCGTCTGGTTTCTGTTGATTCGTCACACAATAAAAAGTATCAATATAATCATATAAAAAAATATATAACACCTGTGGTGAAAAGACATATTGGGTATAGATGTATTACAAGAGAAAATATCATGAGAAAACAAATTTACCTCATTTTTTTAACAAAGGAGTCTGGAATTATATGTAAACACTGTTAAAGTTTTAAAACATATCATTCACTAATCAGTCCATACCCTCCCTGTATGAAAATTAAGAATTCATTGTTTCTGTGATGTCACGAGAACCAACACATTCACATTAATTTGTCTATGCAGCAGGTTAGCTCCGCCCATTCATACTGAAGTTCTTAGGAGTGTTTCAGCCCATGGACCCTCACAGAGCAGGTAGTATTTGGGTGGTGGATCATACTCAACACTGCAGTAACACTGACGTGGTGGTGTGTTAGTGTGTGTTGTGCTGGTAGGAGTGGATCAGACACAGCAGTGCTGCTGGAAAAAAAGATGGGCTCAGTGAGACAAACAGACAGACAGTGGAGAACTGACCGTGGTTCTGCTGGGCCATTTGCAGGGCCTTTAGGGAGGTGTCTGGACTGACTTCTAGCTGGCAGACGACCACCTTGGCCTTCTTCAGCGCAGCCTGCGCCCGCTGCAGCTCCTCTTTCCCCAGTAGCATGTTCGCTCCAGCTACGATCACTATAGCATTCTCACCTGCGAACGCAAACGCAGACCGTGCTGAGATATAGAAGCTGTTTACACAGTTCAGTTTCACGACTTCTTTTAAATGCATTCTCACTCTCCTCACTCTCACTCAGGTATGCATACAGTACCTGTCAAAAGTTTGGGAGAAATCTTCAAAACTCCTTCAAAATTTCAAAGTAATGTTTGATTTTCAGTGTTGTGTTTCAAGCAGTCTCTTCAGGCAGACTCCCTAGCGGTACAGAAGCTGGTGTCTAAACCGTGTGCTTGAACATTTGTGATGCAAAGGGCCTTAAGTAAGTAATGCATCAAAAAGCTGCAACACAACTGATATACAGGGTTGCAGCTCCACAAGCACTCTGCCATGGCAGATGCAGTGTAGCCATTTTTGAACAAGCATGTTTATACATTTAGACTGAAACTCAAACATTTAACATCATATTTTTGTTGTTGGTAATGTTTGTTCAATCAGAGTAACAGTTGTCTTAAGTATACAGTACATTTCTTCATATATGTATTTGTTTGCTTGCTTAAAATAATAGTTTATGACAAATCCTACAAATCTTCACAGTTTCATTTAACTGGCACAATGACAGCATTTAGAGATCATGTTATTTAATTAGGAGACATAATTAAAGGCAGAATTAACCGTTTTTACCTCTGCTTTACCAGATTAGGAGAACGTCTGGCTTACAATTAGCATTTAATATGTCACTTTTGTAATTGTGCAGCATTGCAACCCTCGGCCTCATCATTTTGACATAATTTACAATTTTGTGTCATATTTGTGTTTTCATCCTTCAGTGTTCTCTCACTACAATACCCAACACGAACGCATCTCACAATCACTGGGAATCTATAGTGCTTAACAAATCCTTCATGCCAGCCACAGATCTAGATGCTAATGTGTAGTACTAGCTAGCATCAGAGATATAGCACTAACTTCAAATGATGGTCACACTTTTTTTTATTTTGTTAAAGCAATAATTCAGCCAGCTGGTGAAAAAAACAATCCACCCACCCATGTGTCCATCTCAACAGCTGCTCTGGGAGGAGATTGAAAGTTTCGAAAGAGGCATTCAAACAACTCCACCAAAGGCTACACTGTCATTTCTGTTGATTAAGCTACAAAAAATGTAACCAAACTGTCAAAAGGTACAACAATAATCACTGGGTCCAACTGTGTACCTTATATAAGTTTTACAAATACGTTACATTCATTTTCCTAGAAGAAAGGTGCACATGTTTTAAACTAGAAAACAAATTAAAAGATCCTGGAGTCAATTTAGGGAGTATGGAGTCAATGCAACTTAAAAAAACAGAATTGCAGTGGAATAAGGTACAAATAAGCTCCTTGGACAAAAAACTGGTCACCTTGAGTGTTTAAGGTGGTAGTAACTTCAGACTACTGCAGATGGTGCCGCACAAGGATGACTGGGCTATAAATACCTGTGGGGTGTGCAATGGGATTCACAGATTGAGAAGAGGTGGTACAGTGCAGGGAATGTCTGGTGACTGATTTTTTGTCCGGTGAGCTTATGTTACCTAACCTTGAGGGTACCACCCCAGTGACAAGAAGGGTGCCAGCCCAGAGGCAGTCTAGTACCTTTTGTTCTGAGAGTATAGGGCATCCTACATGAGGCGTGGCAAAGCTCCTCTTAGGAACGCCTGGAGAAACTGACTGTTTGTATGAAAAAGTTTGTGCCGTTTATTTCTTGGTTATTGTTACAAATATTTACCCATAATATTGTTTTAATCCCAATAAAACTGGTATGTTTTTATGTTAGAACACTAATATGTTAGAACACAAAAACATAATTTACATGAAAAAGCATTTAGAAAAGCTAGGTGTCCGCAAACTTTTGACAAGCAGCGATTGCAGCCATATGAGGACAGAGGTCACATTAGGATAACTTGTGTGTCCACTAACTCACAAACGGACACGTGTTCAAAACCATCGTGGTCTTGAGTAACAGAGAGAGTGGCACTGATATAACGCTTACATCAGCACTTAGGAAACCACGGTGCAGAGTAAGGCTTTTTCATCAAGATGGCCTTTTCATCAATCCAACTTCCTCAGTCGTCTGCGAGATAATCGTTCCATCTCGAGTCACTGTGACTTTTACACAGGATGCTGGGACACTGTGCTATCGCCAGGTTGTTATGGCGATCGTGACGTTACTCTCCCCACGGCACTGGCAGTTCACTCGCGGATCTCCACCAGGCTCGGTGGCCGAGCTAAAGCTGTGATTAGTGACATTTACAGCGCACTAGGGCCTTACATTTAGCAACAGACTGGTTATGTCACCAGCCCCTATCTTCAAGCAGTGCTATATAAAACTGCCTTGCTATAAACTGTTCTGTGCTGTGTGGGTGACGGGCTGAATGACACAGGTAGAGAGCTGCTCACTCATCTGTGGTTCATTCAGAAGTGCACTTAGCCGTGTGTTATTTTAGAAGCTTTTAAAGCCTGTGGGTGCAACAGGGCACCACACACTGAGCACCTTCACACTACCTGCATCGTTTACGATGATGGAAGCAGCTCCGGTCGCAGCTTCAGCTGTCTGCTCCACAAAAGCTGCAGAGGGAGAGTGAAACATAGGCAAGACTGAAAAAAGTGGCTCAAATCTGCAATCATTGTAAATAATGTACAGTACTGTGCGAATGTGTATTTCTTTCATTTTCAGACAAAATCGTCATTACGTTATTTATTTTTCAGTACTAGGGAAAAAAGTAAACCCATATTTGACAGAAAATTGCACAGAAGGCTCAATAGCTAAATACATAAATTTTGTTCAGTACTTAGTGTGTCCACACTTTGCCTTTATTACATCTTCTATTCTTTTCTGGAGACTCGCTTTTAGTTTTTCAAAGAAATCTGCAGGGATATCCATTACAGTTCAGTCGTAGAAGTTGATTACATTTTTTGCATTTCAATATCCAAGCGATCCCAACTCAATTCTTTAATTGCATATAATGATGCATATGAGAAATGATCAGATATGAGAAGTGAAGAAAATGAAAACTCACTACCTGTGGATACACCGTTGTCTTTGAAATTTTGAATGTAATTGTCCCCAAAAAAGTCTTTTCCAACCTGTGGAGGAAGGAAACACTTGTAATGTGGGTTCTTCCTGAAAAAGCAATGCTTAAAGGAACAGTTTAGCCAAAACTGCAGTAGGCTTTCCTTTACCCCAAATGTAATCGATCAGTCAAATGATTTAGTTTTTTAGACTAATGTAGCTAACCAGTAAAGAAAGCTAATACGACACTACTTGGCATCATGCAAGCTGCATGCAAAAATCATCATAAAACCTGCTTATAGGGGTTCTGACAATGAATGACATTCTAAAATTATAACTATTGACAAAAAAACAAACAAATTTCAGGCTTCAGGATGGCACTTACTGCTGTTTTTTAGCTATTCAGCATATTTACATCCTTTTTAATAGATAACAGTAAGCAAGTTTATTTGAGTTCACTTAACAACCCTACATGGTTTAAGTGTAACGATTCTGACGTGCACTTTACACAATGCTAATTAGCAGATAATGTTAGTAATGAATAAAAGTCATTACTTAAAGGCTACATTAGCCATTAGCTCTAGTGCAAAAATAAACGATCAAACCTCAGACACCAAACATGTCTTGGCTGATCGATCATACTTGGGCTAAGGCGAAAAGGAGTATGTATTTGATTTTTTGCAGAACTATTCTTTTAAGAACTGGTTTCGTACATGTTAGACTCTTGTATATATCATGAGCTTAACGTTGAATTATATCATGAGCTTAACGTTGAATTAACTGGCTTAGTTTGATGAATACGAGGAACCACCTTTCAACTGGAAGCTGAAACAATACATTCTCCTTCCTCACTGTCAGGGCAAAGTTCTGCATTGCTAAATCCAGCCAAGCCTTCCAGATATAGCCACCCCACCCAACACGCCTCCGCACCACCAACAGTCCTCTAAACCGCCGCACCCCTCTCTCCTTCCCTCTCTCTGAGACGTTCAGCACTGAGGTAAGGGGTGGAGGGGTCCCTCTCTGCCCACTGGGGCTACTTTTATCCCACGCTGTTAAAGACGTGCCAAGGCTGGGGCCCTTCTCTACCTGGCCCTCTGTCTTTTGAAGCGCAACCCCTCTTTCAGGCTTTCTGAAAGCATGGGAGACTATTTTTGTGCTGTGCATATGCTTCAGTATCGATTGGGCTCTTTGTACTGAGAAACACAGGCCTTTATTACTCGTTTAGGCTTTCTGGTGCTGCAGGTACAAACTAACAATGATGAGCTGATCAGTATGAAACAAAATGAAAAAAGCACTGTACATGAACAGAAAGATCTGGACTCAGATATGAGTTAACTACAGGAAAAGAAACCGTTTTTGAGTACCTTGCACACCATGGCAGTCTTGGCTCCCAGTCGGGCAGCCTGGACGCACTGGTTTGCTCCTTTCCCACCAAAGCCAATGAAGAACTTGTGTCCATGTATTGTCTCTCCAGCTTTGGGGAGCCTCGGCGCCTGGCTAAGAAAAGAGAAGATATAAAAGAGTTTATGGAAAAAGACTAAAGAAAAAGACTAAGAGCAACTTAGATTATCTTCACATTACAGAGTTGAAGTGCCAGAAATCAGATTTTTTGCCTAGCCCCAAACTGACACGTAACTGCAGCATAAGTGAAGTGCATCCAAACCACACTGCCCCTGACATGAAGGAGGAATATAAGCTTTTCAAAATCAAAATCAGTTTTTACTGCTGTTGGCAGCAAAGTAGCCTCCACACATTGTCTGTACAACCTAGACTCTTTCTTTAAAGCTACACTATGTAGGTTATGGGGATTTGGTGACCCCTCTGGTGGAAATGTGTAATTGTGCACAACATGCAGAAGAACCTTTTGTAATGTCAATTGTGCTTTGGACCCCTTCCTCAAGTGGATGAATCTGATGATTATATTATCTTCATCAGCATAATGTTGATTTTGCATTTGGGTCCTAAACATCGAGCCAGACCTTCTTTTTGACTCTGTCCGTGTAATGTCAATATGACGTAATATAACACGCTCAACATATATTAACAAAAACATCATACAGGGAGATTCACTCGAAAGAGGCCCCAAATATTCTGTAATAACTCTAACTAGGACGAAGCAATCTCAATGAAACAACACACAATGTGCTCTTCAGTATAAGGAGCTTCAACCAAGCTAGGATGCCCCTGTTTTGGAGTGATGAGGTAGGCGCCGGACAGCCGTCGCCACGTTTAACCTCTGTTTGCAACTTCCAGGTGCACTCCCCCGTACCCCTTCATGTGTCTGGCAGAAAACGGAGGACACTTCCAGCATCGCATGTAATGCAATCGATTACACATACGTCAAGGTATGTAAGGTATTTTTTGGTTCAGATTGTTTCATCCTAACAGGAGTTTCAACAGAATATTCGGGGCCTCTTTCAAGTGAATCTCCCTGTAGTTCAGCTTTAAAAAATGTGTAATTTTGACTGGAGTGTAAAAAAAAAAAAATAGACAGCCAGTGTGGACTGAAACACGGATAAAAATGGAAGCTCATCTGTTCTGTCAGATGGACGACTAAAACTGTGTCCCGTGTAAATTGGCCTTAACTGTGACAGATTTTTTTTTTAGAGCCGTGGCTTTGCTCAGAAAATCAGTACCAGTTCAATCTTTTGTCGTGGCAAATTTAAGCAGGAAAGATTTTCTGCAGACTCAACAGCAAAACACAACATGCAATCAGAATTTTTCCAATCAGATTCAAGCCTTTTTTTGTTTGTGGTTTCAAATGTGATTCAGACTGGATCTCTGGATAGTGACTCAGGTTGGATTTCATGTGTTTTTTGTTTTTATTTTGGGGAGGGGGATGGCTGGGAGGATCAAAGTTACTGCAACCAATGCTGTTTATTTGCACCAGTGCATTGCAATTGACTTTGCTGTGGATCACCACCGTTGTAAAGCAGGGCTGTCAGGGGCTTGGTGGGCCATAGCATTACAGGGTATCGCATCTAAACTGAGTTATGAAGGGCTTTGTAACTACCTGAGAAATTGAATTGGGTGGATAAAACCAAGAAAGACACTGTGCTGTGCTGTGGACCCTTGGGACCTTTTGACACACCTGTTTTACCCCATGTACAGATGAAGACCCCTACAGTCCTACAAGAGCTCTCTACATCCAGTGTACGTTAAACAATTTGATGCAAAAATGAACCAAACACTACAGTTTCATTGATCAGTATGCAGATTTCCTAAGAGTTCACATGCTCTGTGACTTCATGATCTGTGATATGATGGCAATAGTAGATATTTTACTCACAACCTCAAAACACACGTCCTCAAGCAAGTTTTGACAGTTATCTTTGAATACTCTACCAATGTGCTAGCAGTTATCACATTCTAGAGCAAAAGTGCTGATTTAGGATCAGATTTCTCAGGTTTACTTTGACATCAATCAGCACTTCTAATCTGAGCTTTGTGAACACAAGCCGTTGTGTGCAATTACACATTTCCACCAGAGAGGTCTCCAAATCTCCAAAGCGTACATAGTGTAGCTTCAAAACAATGTGGCAATTTGACTGAAGATGAAAAAGTGGAAAATGTACTCCTAAAAAACAGAAAGGACTCAAACCTGCTTTTAATGTCACTGTTTGCCAGTAAGCTCACATTTGTGGTAGAAAGTTGCTCTGAGTTTATGAGACATCAGAAAGTACGTCTGACAAAACAAAGCCTGACAAACTGTGTGGCATTATGAAGATGTTGCAAAGCTATTTTTATAAGAATAACACAAGGTGTATTAAATAATCACTCGATGAAATTCTGCATAGTGAGCCGTTAAGCCTGTTTGTTCATAAAAACAACAGGAACATGCCGAATAACAGACGATCAGTCAGTTATGATCACTGTACACGAAATTTCTGATTGACATTTTGATTTGAAAACGACTTTCGCCAAACAGGATGTATTAGTATGCATCAATTAGGTTTTTAGATTGATATGATGATTCACTGTCACTGACTCAGTAATGTATGGAACCTGATTCATCCACTACACTGACTGAAAAGTGAAGCTGACTTCCACCGCACTCATACTTTTACCGTTTAGCCGCAACATTTTGAAATGAGATGGGGGTGTTTGGGGCGGTGGTGGGGGGAATTTACTGGAATACAATGATTAAAAGAGCTGTTTATGAGTGAAAACAGTATGTCCTGCCATGCCTAAACCTTCTAAATATAATGCTGGGGCTCTGAACTCCTTAGAAAGGTAATTGCTTTACTACAGCGATGCATGACATTACAGAGAGAGGTCCATGTGATTCTCACCCAACCAGAACAAGCAGCTATTACTCATTCTATTGAAGAAGAAGAAAAAAACCTCTCAAACTCAGAAAGTTACAGCCTGGCTCCAGTCCAAGTCCGCAAGAGTCAGTGTTTTTGTTGATGGCAGAACGTGCTGCTAAAGTTGTTTTTCTCTGCTTGACTTTTTAAGCATGTGTTGTTTGTGAGGTTTAAAGAGGGGCTTTTACAGTAAGTCAATTTAGACGAATAAAGATACTATTTGCCCAGTTTCCAGTAATCTGGATGAGAAGTTTTGATCTCACTTTGGATAGCTCTGTTGATGAGCCAGTTTGTCCAACCACATATTTCCAAATAAGCTGCATGAGTTGGTAGAGGGAAACAAACAAGAACGACAGAGTGAGAATGATGTTACAAGTAGTCTGCTGAAAATTATATTTTAAATTAAGTTACTAATAATAATAATGATAATAATAATAATATAATAATAATAATAATAACACAAAAAGGTTCTCAAAAATAAGATTATGCAAAAAACAAAATATGTTCATATATAAAATGATATACTATAATATAATATTTGATTATTATTTTATTATAGTATTATATGTATATATGTATATATGTGTACATACACTCACACACACACACACACACACAGACACACATATATATATATATATATATATTATATAATTATATATACACACAGAACAAAAAATACAGAAATGATATTTTTTAAAATGTATACAGATCTTGCAAAAAAGCTTCATAGTATAAAAAGAAAGGTGCAAAAATCTTATTACATTATGTTTTGGATGAATATGTTATTAAATAGGATTATTTCCATACTTCAAAAAGAAACTTTGTGTATTATTTGTATAACTGTACAAAAGTGGCAGCATTTAAATACGTGTTAAATCTATAGTTTTCTATAAATCTATAGTTTTGTTTATCTATGTGTAAATACTGTTCTCTGCATAATTTGTGGAACTCGCACTCAAGTTTTTCACTCACCTGTGTCCCTGTACTCTTGTGATGTGACAATAAATCTGATTTGATTTGATTTTGATTTGATTTGATTTGAAATCTGAAATCTTAAATGGAAACACTGTCTGTTAAGTCACATGAGCCTCAATATGGTGTACATGTTCAGTTCTGTTTAACTATGTTGTATAAACTGAACAAAACGCTTCATTTACTATTTAAAAATAGACCAAACCACTCCATGAGTAGCTTTCTATTTCTGTTGCACCATCAAATGGTTGCACTATCTCTATTTAGCTCTAATTATCTAATTTAACTGAAATAGATCATTCAGACTGTCCAGTTTTAGCTAGAGCGTGACATCACCCAAGAGGAAACCATTTTTTGATTATCTTATTTTCCGTTGGACCAGTCCAACTATATGACATCATAGTGAGGCAATGACGACCAGCTTGTAGAAGGTTTTTGCCTATTTGTCATGTTTTTAATGATAGATTAATAATAAAAAATAATAATTTTGGTCCACACATCATATTTTAATGGTATTATACATTTACACTATTTAAGGCATATGAGTATTAACAGGAAGAGTTAAAAAAATAGGGGTGCCCAATATTATCCACTGATCTTCCAACCAAAGTAGGAGAAGATCAATTGTTTGAAGACCGACACCAACTGATTAAAGACGCAGAGTCAGGTGAGCTCCCGCTTGGCTAGAATGAAAACTTGAATCAGCCCTTTGTGGTTAAGATGAGGCACCCCTGTTTTCAAGACACAGACACGTTTCCTATTTTATTAAAATAGAACTGGCAAAGGACTTAAGAGGGAATTCTACTGATGTTTCAAAATTTCTGCATCATTCATTTGTTAAGATGTAAAAAAAGTCATTGAGGGTGGTTTGAAGTGAAATGCTGCGTTCTAGAACATCTTGACAAATTAGAATTATTCACAATAGTAGTGATAGGAAGCAGACATACAAAACATTTAAAGTTTACAGAAAGTTATTACATGAAACAGGTATGAATACGCCACCTGATGTCTGAGACACTGCTTTATTATAGTTTTGAGGCTAAAAAGATATAACATTCCTGGCAGAGATATTAAAGAGCGTTGTAAGGCAAAATAGTTCCCAAAAGTAAATAGAGAAATTTTCAGATTTGCCACTATTTTATTATCATCAACAATACACAGAAAACTCAGAAGACACATGTAGGTTCACTGGTGCTTTTGGATAGTAAATAAAATGTCTATATATCTGTGTTGTAGATATTGTGACTCCACTGTGAAGAAATCTGAGTCAATAGGTTTCTCCACAATGAACCATTTCACATCAAACAACTCTGAATTCCTCTGTTTATTTCTTAATCATTGTATTATACAGAATTTCCCTCTAAATGATAAACCTATCAGTGGCAAAATATAGTCAGTGTAATCAGTCTCTGTGTATTGCACAATTGCATAACATCACCAGCTTATCACTGAACAATCTGACTATTCTTCAGTTCCACTGACAACACTGTAAACCCACTCATGCAGTCAGAGCTTCTGCCGCTATTGTGTAAGCAAGGTGTGAGTATACACCACCACCTCACTGACTTTTGTCATTAGGTAGTGAGCTTTAAACCTAATGAGGTGCCATTGAGTCAGCGTCTGGAGTCGGTCAAAAGCCAGACTAACCACACCTGCATCATCACATTCACGCTATTGTTTGATGGTGAGAAGCATCTGAGAAACGTCTGATTCAATCAATCAGTCACATCACAAACTTTGACACAATTTTATGCTGCTGACTCTTCCAAGCCGCAGGGAACCACAACAGGTGTTAGGCTGACGTGAGCCGTGCAGTAGGGTGCTGTTTACATCCTTTTCTCTTTCTTTTTTTTCCTTTCCACAAAGATTGCAGGAGAAAACCACTGACGCAGTGTGAGCGGGTCAGGGTGAGAACGTCTTAACCCACGGCCCGACACACAACAAAACGTTTACTTTCAAAGAAAGCTTCTGGCGGCTGTAGGGGGCTGACTCATGTCCCATACGTGAACGTTTCCAAATAGTAAAGCACATAAGAACGGAAGATTTGAGCGCATCGTACCTGTATTGGAGCATGTTTTCCCACACTAGTATCAATTTGATTTTCAAATGACAGACTAACAGCTCCATTACACAGCTTTCCAACACCTAGGTGTATTAAAGCGTGCGTATCCCACATTTTTCTGGTATTCTATTAATTTCCCTGAAGTCTATTTATAACATTTGAGTGGTTTATGAAACAAAATCAGTCATAACTTATCTTTACATGATCATTTTCAAACCTCTCTTTATCCCTTATAATTGAACAGCCTGTGCCTTTACAATGGATATATCATATGTCATATTCAAAGTTCTACATTGAACAAACTTAATATATTTTAGTGCACAATTGCTCTTTTGTACTACATTAAACATATTGGAAAAAATAAAGTCATAACTATTGCAACAGCCACATTTTACATTTTATTTTTTTTTCCAATATGTTAAATTCAGCAAATAAACAGTAATTCTGCATTAAAATTTGTAGAAGTGTGTTCACTTATTTTCACTCAGAAAATCAACAAAACATGTCATTTGACCAGGGGTGCCCACATTTTTGATACAACTGTATGTAAATGCTTTATACTGTGCCTCATTCAAAAAAAAACAAAAAAAAACACTCCTTATAATTTCAGTGTGAATTGGCTTGGCTGAGGTGCTGGAGGGCAAACAGACATATACGTACAAAAGAGCTGTTTTTTATGACATCACAAAACATTGCAGTCAAAATGGCTCTTTTTGCAGCTTAGTTTACAAACATGAACTGTATAGACTGTGCAGTGAACAGTATCTATGTACTACATTGCGTATTACATTTACAGCTCTTATTTCAAAAAAGAAAGAAAACTCATTTTTCCATTACATGGGCCCTTTAACAGTACTGAAATCATGGTAATATCACACTGAGAAGACCTAAAATGACTTTAGCATGGCTAGCGTGCTCCGTACGAGTGGCTCTGTGTGGTCGAGCTGCTATTAAATGCTCAGATGATCAGCAGGTGGCACTCTCTGGCTTCAGCATGGCCACGCAGATGTTCAACAGGAGATGCATGTGGATGTTTCTGCCTCACTGTCACCCAGACGCAGACCGACAAAAAGCACACCCGCACATGCACCAGCCAGGGAGAAAACTGGATTTCATACTTCAAAGTCATGCATAGCACTTTGATGGGCTAGGAGTGTGTTTCAAGCACCCTTCAAAAAAAAAACAAAAAAGAAAAAAGAAAAAGGAAAAACACACATACAAACATAGACTTTTCCCGTTAGTGCTGATGCCTAATTGATGCGGTCTCCGCTTTTCAAAGGCTAAAGTTGATGGCTGAATTTTTAATGGGGGAGGGGGGTTGGGGAGGGAGGGAGAAGCAAAAGTAGAACACAAACGAGGCCATATGTGTTTAATAACGCACACTTTTGGAGTTTCTTCTGTGAGTATCATACTATGACACAGCCAGAAAAGCACGATTTGTGCTGCCATGGAAAGATTAACAGTGAACAGTGCTGTCCTTAAAGAATCCCCAGCTATTTCTCTCCTGTGTGGGCAAGCACTTAAGATCTTTTCAAAGAGCTGGCTGAGAGGTGCTAGTCTCTGATTAACGCGCTTCACATAATCTCCATACAAGGGAAACAGCAGAACGCACCCCAAAACCTCACCAGCCTGTTTAACACTGAGCATTTCCACAGTCATTTCTCTTTAACTGTCCTGACCTGTAGCTGAAATTACACAATATCATTATTTCAGCAGGACATATGTTTGCGTGTAGGGCACCAAATCTGCCAGTGCACACAGCCACCATAAACCAAAGGTATGGTCAGTACTTTGCCCAGACAGTAGCATTCAAAAGTTTGGGGACACTGTTTTCCCAAAAATAAAATAAAAATAAAGAAGTATGAAATGATTCCATTATGATGCTGCCAATCAACAACTTAACGTATTTCAACTAATTTTTAGGAAACTGTAAAAAATGGAGAAATTATGTATTCAGAATGATGAACAGAGCAGTAGATGATTCCCTTAATGATTGAGCTGCATAACTTTGAGAATGAACTTACAATAAAATTAGCATTCAGCCATGTATTTGAAATGTCTTGATCAAATCTCTCAAAGAACTTTTTGGTGTTCCCAAAAGACTTAAAATACTAAATAAAGCAGCAAAAATACCATACGGTGTATAGCTTATATATAGCTCTGTATTTCATAATTAAGAATAAAATATATCAATAAATAATATGACAAGTGATTCCAAAGATTTGAATACTAGTGCATGTTCAGTGCAAATGGATCCCATCAGTACTGCATAAATATCCAGATGCATTCTGTACTTTTCCATAATATGCATCTTTTCCAGTCACATAGAGTTTTATATGTATTGGGATTTTTTCAAGTTGGAAAACATGCGTATTATAGATAAGTAGTAAATGACAACTGAGTATTTAGGCTGTACTGAAATAGAATAACAGTATATTTACCCCAATTTTAGGTGAATGTCAGAATTGGAACAGTTAACCCCCAGGAGAATTTCTTCACACTGTCTGCAGACACAACAAAGCTGTAAATGCAAAGTGCTGGATTTAACCTTTGATATTTTCTTCTTTGGAATCAATAGGCCTAAATCTTCTACAGAACAGTGTGTAAAGGAAAAGCAGGATTTTGAATGATGAAAAACAGAATACACTGAAATCCACAGCACAGAAACCTGCCAATTTAAATGAATAATTCTGAAATGACTTGAAAAAGAGACCTCTGGTGTACTTCCCATTAAAACCACTACAGATGAAAATAGATAACTTATCAGTAGTGCAATGAAAACATTTATGACTCAATAAAACAACTATTACTGAAATTACTAACAATGTTCACAGTGCTAAGCACACAGCACATCATCTACTGTCTTCATCTAAGACTTCCTCACTTATACAGACTGCACCATAAGACACAAAACCCTCAGGAAGACTAGAAAGGCCAAGTTAAAAGTTGCTATAAAATAAAGATAACACAGTTCAAAATTATCTGGGCTGAGTTTCCCAAAATCATCCTAAAACAAAGATGATTCTAACATGGTAGAGTGAGCATCACATTGAACACTCTCTCTACCATCTGAGATGAATTTAACACTAAGATGATTTTTGGAAACTTGGTTTTGGTCTCATATCATCTTACTTAAAAGATGTACATAAAACAATTTGTCTGACAATTTACAAGAAAATGTAGACCCAAAAAATCATATTGTATCAACAACAACCTCAAATCAAGAGGAAAAACCAAGACTGCCCAAATCACCTCTAGATTCAAATCCAATCAGACATGCATTTTCACTTCCACAAATATTTTGGTCACTTAAAATCTAAGCATTTAGCACAGGGAGTGGATTTTTTCTAAAACAGTAGAGTGTATAACACAAAATGATAATATATGAATTTTTAACTTAAATTCAAACCATTTCACTAAAAAGCCATTTTGTCTTTTTTTTCAATGAAATCTTTATGGAATGTTATGTGAAGTATGTCAATGCCTGTCAATATTACCACTGAGAAATCTATAATGCTGTGTTGTAGTTACAAAGTGCAGTTGTAGCCAATATGACTATGAGACATTTGACAAGGAAAAAGTTGCACAAATAGTTGACGTGACCAGTGCACAGTGATTCACACCTCTGGAAAAATATTAATAACTCAAATAGGCTCAATGCAGTTCCCCTATCTGCATACAGTGGGTTGCATTTAGCTCCTACTGGAAAAACTTCCAGAGTTATTTCAAAACTGCCTATGTATATAAATAAACATGTTCCATAAGCATGGGTATGAGTATGATCTTTAGTGTGGGTCACATGTTGTGTAGACTAATACTGTTCACAGTTTCTGTTGGCTTCAGCTAACAGTGATATAGTCACATGCAGCAAATGCACAGCTAACATACAACCCAAGTGTTCTTGTTAAATAAAAAGATGGACTCACCTGACCAGATCGGTCATACAGGAGCCCACTACAACAACATCCACTTCTTCAGTCATGTCTTAATAGAGATACACAAACACACATACAGACAGTAATCAGTGAAGTCCAAAAACCACTGTAATAATATGTTCTTGATTCTAAAGAACTGGAGAGGCATCTATCATTGCTGCCTCTCATATAAGACCACCATGGCTGCAGCTTTGGCTGCTTGACACTTGAAAAGTCAGATCTGATGGCAATCTGCACTGAAAAATGCTGTACTGCTCATCTAACATAAAAAACTGTTTCGGGAGAGTAAAGATAAAGCAGGCAGGGCTGTGATTTGAAGCCGAGATGGAGGAAGTAGGCTTGAATTGCAGTTTTCAAAAAGAGCGCACACTCTAACCATCCGCATGTAGGAAATGTTTTCAATAGGTTAGAAATAGCATTAATTGTGCTCCACATTGGACATGTGCCTATTGCACCAGAGGTGATTATTTCAAGACTGCACCATGTGATTGACAACAGCCAAGAAAATCCTTCATTAATTCAATCCCTTGCATGTAGGCTATGCATGTGAATAGTAGTGAGCTAATCTGCTCAAATCTCCCAGCAGTCCTAAGGCACTGTGAAAGCTTGGCCGTTAGCTATGGGACAGCCTTGATTTTCTCATGATCGCCTATATTTTCTGCACAGTCTGCACTGTACTCAAATCATCCTGATTGATCTATTTGAACCAATTTACAACCAGATATATTATGTCTGACATTCATATTTAATAATGACAAACGTTTCCTAATACATTTGGTTAAAATGAACCTAAATGAAGAACAAAAATACCATGCATTGCAAATTGGAGAAGGCAATCTTTATCCAGGCCGGTGAAATTTAACATGCCATGCAAATCCTTCTGTTTCTTGAAGAAGAGAGGCTGCTCAAAGTCCATGAAGGCCTATCAGTGCAGACAGCCGCACATAGTCAGTAATCATGCGCAAACAGAGATGTCATGTTGATTATGTGGGACTGAAAAAAGGCAGAAAAATAAAGGTGTGAAAAATGGAATATATCTATGGTTATCTAACATTTAGGCTTAACTAGAAAAGCCAAAGCACCATAATAGGAAATACTGTTTGTCTTGCTACAGGAGGCAAATTGACTTTAGCTGTAAGAAATTATAAAGCTCTCAAAATTGATCTGTAAATATTACATATACTCAGGGCCACACGTAATTAGAGTAATTATACTGCATAAAATGCCCCTAAAGTCCTTCGTCCTTAGTGTCTCCCCGCCCTAATAGTCCCCTTTTAAAGGGAAAGTCCTCTGAGCTATAACTGATAATGGTAAAATTGTGGTAAATCTGAAAAAGTAAGTTCTCTTTGCATACTAGTTGCCTTATGACACCATGCATGCACCTCTCCACCATGACTGCATTTTCAAAAATAGGGTTTAGACCAAAATTGTATAAGAAAACGATGTCTTAGGCATCCGGTAGTATATCCACAACCATTTCATGTAACAGGCCTAGCTTTCTGTGAGGGGGCTTTTAGAGGCATTAAACTCTTCAGATGTCTGGTTCCTATCACCATCACTGTGAACAATTCTGATTCTCTAGAATTTCATATCAAAGCACTCTGAATGACTTTACTTACATCTTAACTAGAGGTGGGCGATATGGAAAAGTGCAATATCACAATCCTTCAGGAAGTTTTTTTTTACGATATGCGATGTGTCACAACATTTTTCCTTACAACTAGTGCCACTTTTTCAAAATACTATCAACAACTCTCAATCTAAATATATTCAACATTTCACAATTATGCTTCCTAATGAAACATGGAGTGATGGAAGTGATGCAAAATCCACGATACGTACTGGCGATATTCACAATATGCTCAGAAATGCGTATTGTGACATATTCTGAGGTAGTTTATCATGATAACAATAAATATTGTTATACTGCTCAGCTCTCAACTATTAGGTGCACATTTTGAAAAATCAGTGGTTTCCCATTGAACTTCATGAAGGGTTTTTTGGTAACCTGATGAGCTGAATTAGGTGTATTCAGGCAGGAAAACACTGATATGTGCAGTGCAGGCAGATCACTGAGCAGGACAGGGAAACACTGAATAGATGCATAGACATAGCATATAGATAGATACTGTATAGAAATGAATGGTAGTCATAGCCCAGCTCAGCCTCCACAGCTTTTTCCACACAATGTTACATTTATTTCTTATTTGCAGTTGTGAAACTCAGACATGTAAGCTGGAAAGAAGTCTCTCTGCAGTCTAAATAAATAAATCTGTCACTACATTTTAATATGAAATGTAAAATGCCACACTTTACCTACAGTCGGTATCAGCTGTCAGTGTAAAACTGAGCCCAAACCAAAGTTCACTTTCTGAACCTCAGACAGACAGAAAGAGCTGAACTCAGGAGAGAAGCCCTTATCCTCTCCTGTTTAATCAAAATGTCATTTGTCTGCTAATTTAACACACTGTACGACTGGTAACCCATAAAATACAACACGTCGGCAGCTGTTTTTTTCGCGTTAATTCTGTCTGTGAAGCGCAAACTAGCCGGGTCAGCCTGAGCATGGCGGCTCAGGCGTTCGTGTAGACAGCCTGCATAAAGCCCCCAAACAAACAGCACCAGGAAGACAACAACAGGAGCAGCTGAGAGAAATTCAGCTGCGGTTAAATCTGTGATAAAGGTACAGAAACGAACTGAGGAGCGCAGGTTTCACATTAGGACGAGCAGGACAGCTAAACGAAACTCGGAAAAAATGACTTAAACGGGTCTTAAAGGAAGCGAAGGCTGTTTTAGCAGCCCTGTTAGCCTGACGAGGCTGGAGTTGGCTTCACATTCGCCAGCTTTCCTGTTCAAATTTCCCCGTTCCACCTTAAATGGTGCAGTATTTACAGGCGCCACTGCCACACCATTTAAGGTGGAGCCGTACAGTCCGAATAAGAGGCTTGACTTCAACTTCGTGTTAGCATGTTAGCATCTAGGCGCTGAGCCTCAAAAAATAATAAACAAATGGAGGTTTTTACCTTTACTGGTTGTCTTTTCACGCGTAGCCCAAAGTGGTCTGTTTATTATTATTATTAGTATTAGTCTTGTTATTATTATGTGCAGGTTTCAGTAAATGTGGTCAGTAAGTTTCAGTTGTATGGGTTATCATCCTTATTCATTATTCAATATTATTAAATTATACATAATATACATATAACGCTATGTAACGTTTTGGTCAGTGTCCAAAAGCTTCACTTTTATTGTCGTTATTATTAATACTTTTCAACTACACACTTAAAAGATGGTTTTTCAAGGCTACTTCAGTAAAAGCAATACTTCTGTTTAGAACCATGAGTTCTAAATAGAACCCTTTCGTGCTTAAATGGTTCTTCAGATTGATAGAGAATGTGTAGGCCTAATAAATGATTTGATATAGCACCAAAAAGGGTTCTGTTGCTGTTACAAGCATGACATAGTAATAATAGCAGAACCCATTTGGTACTTCATAGAACCATTTACAACACATTCTCTGAAAATCTGAAGAACCATTTCACCATGCAAATAACATGAAATGTTCTTAATAGGACTCATGGTTCTATAATGAGTTCTTGATAATACTGGGTTCACACGTCAATATTCTCACAATGTTTTGAACAAAATTTGAAGAAAAATTATGATTGTGTCCATATTTTTGCACAGCTCACTAACGAACATACTGGAGTGAATTGTTAATTGCTGATGATGGCAAATTTTGGTGCTCAAGCAATGCAGTTACATTCAGTGCTATTATTAATAGAAAGCCCAATTTTTACAGTGTGCAGTATCATATTTTTGCGATGCGATTTTATGATGCTTTGTTACACCTTTTTAATGTGTCTTTGCTACATTTTAACAGTACCAGCTGTCAGTCCAGTCATTTTCTTTATTCTGTTATGTCACCTTGCCCTTCAGCAGAGAGATCTCTCAGCGAAAGATGAACAGCCTTTCTCCGGAGGTGGCCCTGAGCCGGATCTCTCCTGAGTTGAGGCCTTTACTGTGCAGTGTTGTGCGCAATGGCCGCGTTGGTTTAGACTCCACTAACTGCCTGAGGATCACTGACCTTAAGACTGGGTGAGTATTGTTTGTCATATTGATGTATCAGATCTAAATCTCAGGAAGCAAGCTGAGAAAAGTAAAAGTTTCTGACAAGTTTGGTTTAACAGTTTAACCTAGATACCTGCTCATCCAGCATTTCTTCTGATTTCAAGGGTATTAAATGGGGAGTTTGTCCCCGTCCTACCCTTTGCTGCAATAACAGCCTCTACTCTTCTGGGAAGGCTTTACATTAGATGTTGGAGCATTGCTGTGAATTATTACATTCACACACAAGAGCATTTGTGAAGTCAGGTGCTGATGTTGGATGATTAGTTCTGGATCACAAACACTCAAACTCATCCTGAGATCCATCAATTCAGAGAGCATAGTTCTGCTGCTCCTCTTTTTTGTTTCCTAACTTATTAAACGAGTCTTCAGTTATTGTGATGTTATATTTTTGCCACATCAACCACCCCTAGCTTAAAGGAATGACTCAACAACAGATCAAATCAATTTAGTCAGTTTTCCCCTTAACTCAGTTGTCATCAACCAGCCATGGCATGTTTGGTGCCTGAAGTTTATTTCTTTAATTTTGCAGTGAAGCTGTCTTTTCCTGTTCTCTTTAGTGCTTTTTCTCTCTTTCTCCCCAGTTGTACGTCTCTGACGCCAGGGCCTTGCTGTGATAGATTTAAACTGCACATCCCGTACGCTGGAGAAACTCTTAAATGTGAGTTGTAGACATTCTGCTGAAGCACTCCATTAACAAGAGACTAACAGGTCAAAGTGTATAAAAACATTTGTGCATTCCCAGAGCTGGTAGACCTGGAAAGTTAACCAAATATAGTTTCAGTAGCACATAGATGTAACCCTGATGTAAGTCATGAGCAATCTTTCTCTGTTTCCAATGAGTTCTGGCTGTGAATTATCTTTCTGTAAATGTCAAAAGTTCAGTAGTTACGTGTCCTAAGTCATTCACAATGTCAGTGTCAGTTTCTTGACCTATAGTTATGAATATTATGATAGGTTTGAGGGTGTGCTTTTTGTTCAGACATGTTTTCAGGTGAAAATGAGCTGAACAGTTTTAATAAGGCACTGAACTTGTTTGAAATTCCTTTCAATATATTGATCAGGAATCAGGAATAATGTCATAAAATAACATAAGAAAAATTTTTTAAAGAAAAAATAAAATCTTATTTTTTTCTATATGGAATGTAGGCTTAATGTAATCGTAGCCAATGGCAGGAAAGGATTTAATCGGTCCAGCAGTGTCATTTATTTTGTTGACAGCAGTACCAGCATATGGGAAGGTACATCAGTCAACCCTATTAAGCCTTAGATTCTAGGATAATCTCAAAATACGGGATATGGAAAAAGGCATGCTTTGACTTGTCTCTCCCACTTTAATCAGAAACAGTTTTGTAGTTTCTTTGATGTTGATGATGGCTTTAAAAATCAGATATACCAAACTTAAGTGCATCAAGTGCCAACAATGTCTTATCATCAGTATATAATACAAAGGCCTGCTGGAGGACATGAACTGCACAGTAGTTCTCAAGTATCTAACGGCATGACAATTATTTTGAAATGTTTTGAATACTTCTATATTACTAACCAAATTACTTCAATACTACTGAATTTTAAAAAAGAATCCATGCCATTCAGTACCAAATTTCAGTACCAAACCTGTCTTTATTTTAACATTAAAGGATAGATTTTTAAAGTAAATATATGTATTTAAGTAGGTAATGTCTCATTTGCATATTGAACTAAACTTTTTATTTGCAAAAATTCCAAAACAAAAAAAGAATATCAGTAACAAACTGACAGAGTCAAAATATTGGTATTGGTATTGAAAATTTCGGAACAATACCCAGCCCTTAGAAAGACCAGCTACCGTGATTTATCATTACCTACATTATTGTTTGGCTCTGTTTGTTTTTATTTCCGTCATTAACCTTTTCTTCTCAACTTTTTTACCCATGTGGCATTGCTCCATTCATGTGTTTTTGTCCAGAAAAATTGAGTTTAGCATGATGTGAAATGTGCTTTGATCTGGTTGATTAATGTGTTTTGTTCAAGGCCCTTGTTTTTGATATGAGTGCCAACTTTGACTAAATATATAGCGGGATACTCATGATGAGCCATCAGACAAGATTTCTGTAATATAGATGAGTTATTATGACTTGTTCGTTAGTTTTCTATTATTGCAGTTGTTGACTGTGGAACCATCTTTTTTCATTAAACCACAGCAAAAAAAGAAAATTTAGAACTGTCCAGCATGGCCATCATGTGGTCACTTCTTCCAATCATCCTGTAGAACAATGCAGGGCATGACACATCAGTAGTGTTGCTCAACTTTTAAATGCTTATTTTATTCATGTCACTGTTGGAAATGCAATAAACAAATGTTTATGCCTCAGAGAACAAGTGCGAGGTCATTTATCTGTGGTGCTTCCAAGTACCACAATTCATTGAGAAGCTGTTTAATGTTACCAAATGGGGTTTGATAGTAATTATAACTCAGCAGTGATCTTAATTGAGTGTTCCGGTAATAGGTGTGAGTCATGAGGCAATGAAGCAGCAGTCCTTCTGGCAAACATGTGTTCTTTTGAGACATGCTTGCTTACAGAGCTCGGCAGAGATGAGCAGGAATCTGTAGGTAGATCTGGACTGAGTAGATCAGGAGTCTGTAGGTAGATCTGGAATGATCAGATCGGGAGTCTGTTGATAAGTCTGGACTGAGCAGACCAGAAGTCTGTAGGTAGATCTGGACTGAGCAGATCAGGAGTCTGTTGTCTGTTGAGTCTGTTGTCTGATGTACTTCAGTAATCTTGCAACACTTTGAGATGAATACTAGTAATGTAGCCTTGAAATCCAGGTGATGTCATATTTCTTGGACTCATAGCCACTGCTGTGGAATCAGACTTTTTTCTTTAGGGTCTGACATTATTTTCTAGCAAATCACACCACAAAGGGATAAAAGGTGGCAATTCAAACATATACATGCAAGTAGAGCACTATTCAAAAGTCAGAGACCACCCTTACGAAACCACCTTTAAATACAAGTTATGTATTTTTTGGAATATATTTCTGGGAAGAATAGATGTGAAATAATCCACTTGCCTGTGGAGGAAAGTTAAAGGAAAAGAAGTGGGAAAAACTGAAGTTAACTGTATATATACCACTAAAACTGTCCTTGTCAAATAAACAGTACTTTCATCTTTGAGAGAGAGGAGAAAATCGGGCTCCACTTTTGCTACAGATCTGAAAAAACAATCTACTCTTCTAATCTAATCTTTCTGTCCATCCTTCCGCTATGAGAAGACAGCTCAACGCTATGGGTCTAAAAGAGTGTGTAACTGTCAAGAAGCCTGATATGAAAAAATAGACAAAACATCATTACTGAATGTGTTTGAGATTGACTTGGATTATGAAAAACGGATAAATGCAACCAACTTCTAAGACTGAACTTTGGAGGTGTGGAAAAATATCTATGGAAGCTGTGATAGAGGCAAAGAATGGACACATTAAATACTGAAAAATATAACATTATGAATGGTAATATAATATTTACTTGTAATTTTCTCTTAAACATACGTTTTCTGCTTAATCCTGACAATGAATAACTTGTACTCAGTGGTTGTTTTGACTGTAAATAAAAATTAATGATGGGTGGCCCTGACTTTTGCACAGTGCTGTACATTTGGAAATCAGTAACTGTAACTGATCATTTGGATCTCTTTCTTTGAGTCAAATGAACATGCCTCTGAAAGGATAACTTCAAACAGATCTTAAAGATAACACCACTTTCTACAAGGCCTTATTTGAGGGTTGGAATGTCTGGAAAGTCATGTATGCAGAACCTTTTCAGAGTGGGATCTGATGGGAATCAGTGGGAGACATCCACCCCAGTCAGGTTCATTCTGTTCAGTTCTATTGCTAAATGTTCATGTCACCAGACGTATTAGAGGAACTCCAGGTATCTGGTACCAAGACTACTACTAGTGTTGCCTGGTGTTAGCAGTCTGTATTCGTGGGCTGTTTAAAATGTTCCTGCTTTTTGAGTGATGCAAATTGGCATCATTTTCATTTAATTATATGAATAGTCTTAGATGCCTTTCAGCATCACCAGTAAGCAGCTTAAGTCAATTTGGGAATAGTTTCCTGGTTTTAATTTCACAACTGCTGGTGGTTGACAACTCCTAGATGACTCAAAACCGTTTCATAACTCACAGCCTTTGTGAGGGTGATGACTTGCTTGGACGTTATTCACTCCACTGTTACAAATTATTCCAGTTATGCATGTTTTAAAATCCTTCTATCACTACATAGTAGTACAATGTATTGTTTGTTTGTTGGCACAAAAAATTAAGAATTCATTTTATAAATGTTTTATCTATCTAATTAGTGGAAGTAACCTTATTTGGGTATTCTTCACTATCTTTCATAGAGCTACCTACCAAATTTAACAGGAAATGTCATCCAAGACTTTTAAACAAAAATTAGGCTGCATTAGGATGCTCATAATAACAGCATATTGTGAAGCATCCCTGATGGCCACTAATTGGAAGGTGGAGGATATAAAGTATGCATTAGCAGAACATTTTTACTCGTGGTTGCTGATGGTTGATGATTTTGAAGTAGGCCTCTCTGTTACCCTTTCCTTCAGAAGGAAGTCTTATTGTTTGCTTTGGGCTATGTAAGGTCTGGCAGCAGCGTAAGCTGCCTGCTGTTTGCATGCAGAACCATGGCGCACCCAGAAGCACACAGTGTTCCTGGTTTAGCCCCAGCTGGGGCAATATTTCTCAAGCTTCTATTTGACTCAATGCCCAAAAGCCTACCTTCAGGGATGCTTCATTACTCTTTAGCGCTAATAGTCTCGTGACAATGCAACATGGTCGTAGAAGGCTGGGAAGAATTGGTTTGAGGTGGTTGGCAAAGAGGGTTTGCCTTTGTGACGGATTTATGACAAACATTAGCTTGATGTCATTCCAGCTTCCATCTGTGGAAAACTACTGCCTTGTGTTTGCTTTGTTCGCCATATCCTTTTTCCATGTTGAAGAAGAAACAGATGTTAAAAAAAGATTAAAATCACCAGAAAAAGGTTTGTAAATTGCTGTAAGAGCCTTAGCGTTATTGACCCAGTTTTAAAGCAGTCTGCTGAGCGACTGCTGAACTGGTTGGGCTTGTAGGGACTGATGACTGTTCTGGTGTAGGTTGACAGTGGTTTGTAAGATGTCAGGTAAGAATGACTGTTTGTGAAGTAGCCCAGCCAAATGCTTAACTATTATTTAGGCCTTTGGCCCAGTGTCACAAGCCCAGTGTCACAGAATTACAGCTCTACAGGTGTTTAACAGAGTTCTTTTCCATTGCTTATTTGTAATTTCACTCCCCAGTGCCTTCAAGAAGACATAAGGGATGATATTTTATGAATTTCAAGTGGCTTGAAACTTTTTTTGATAGCAGCTTCTGTAAAATGGACTTTGCTGAGGACTTTTAATTTCATGACCACATTTCATCTGTAATGGATAGATCATCTTTATAACAACAGCTATACTTCATCTGAAAATGTTTTGGTTGATTTATGAGAGTGCTGTTTTCTGTTGTTATCAGCATCTGACATCTACTTAATAAAACAGAATGAAAATGAATGTCTAGACCTTTTTTTTGGGGACAAACTCCAACCCTTAGTGAGAGTGTTGAATGTTAATTTGATAATGTTATTGATTTATTGCCCTAATGAAACCATCCATTATCATTTCACTTACTTTTAAAGTAAGTTTAACTAAATAGCATTGCATAATATACAAAACTATGACTGGATTCTGCATGACTGGCTTCGGATATTGCCTGTAGTCCATAATCACCTTCACACCATCACACCTCATATTGGTACATTCTTCAAACGAGAGCACAAACTGCCCCAGGAAAACCTGTGTTTGTGTGACATGATTCTTCACCAGTAGACAACAATGGCTCTCTTTATACTGTGTCTGGTGTCATAGTTATGTGTTTTTCTTGACTGATTGTTCCACCAGGGGACATAATCTTTAATGCCAGTGACCCTGAGCTGCCTCCTGACTTCATTTTTGGGGAAGATGCAGAGTTCTTGCCAGAGCCGTCTGAACTACCGGTAAGTCTGTCTCAAAAAAGAGCTCTTACAAGCTTTATCCTGGAAAGTCCTGGAAAAACATGGGGCTGAATTGCAGCCCTCATATTTACTTTGTTCAGTGATAGCTTTGATAAACATACTTGGTTACTATTGGCTGTTTTATTATTGTATTGTAATTTTTTTATCATTTTACTTATTTATTTTTGGTTAAAGCTATACTGTGTATTTTTATTTATTTTATTTTTTTTTGTTTTTTTTTAAAGAAGTAGCTTTGCGTAAGTTGTTGGACCACATCATACATATTTACATAGGAACCTCACATTCAAAGGCTCAAAAATAAAAGTCCAGCCCAAGATTGAACTGATTACAACTGTTTACAAATTTTTCCACATTGCTAGCCATTACACATTTCCACCACAGAGGTTTCCGAATCCCAGTTTTTCCCAGATTTCCATAGTGTAGCTTTAATGATTGCACGGACCGACAACTACCATTGTAGCATGGTGCTTTTTTTTCTAATGATCTAAAGTACAGGGGATTTAGCAATTTCGTACAGGTGATGTAGTGATTTAAAGTACAGTTTCTGTACAGTCAGTCCAACAGTGCAAAGAATAGTTTGTATCTGTGAAATTAGCTATTGAAATGTTTATATCATTTTCATCACCTATGTTTTTAGGTAGGGTTAGTACCCAGGATGAAGATTAATTGATTGATTGATCACTGATGATGTTTTTGAGTGCTAGTGCCACTTTAAACTGCTACTAGTGAAGTCCTGGTTAATCTTACAGTGCAGAAATCCTTTAAAAAAGTAAATATAAGAAAAAATATGGCTTTCAGTTCATTAGGGGTGGGCGATATGGCAAAAATAAAACATTGATACTTCAAGACATTTTCATTATACACGATAGGCATCTTGATATTTAGGTATTTCAGACAATTTATACGTTAGAACAGATAAAACAGAACTGGCAGTGCAAAATTTAAATAAAAAAATCTAAAATTATAGGTACAATAATTTTACGCTCTCTAATTATGCTCTATATGTGATGAATGATGATATCCACAACATGCTCAGAAAATCAGATTGTGAAGTAATGTAAAGTAATGTAAGTAGTCATTTTTCTAAAGAAATTGGTGTTGTTCTACTCTCCTCACTAAAACTTACCTGGTGTTTTACAGAGGAATTAAGCAAGTTTAAAAACATTTTAACTAGGAAAAAAGCTTACTAAAGGCTGCCTTTCAGATAAACATTACACAGAAACAGAAGGAGGCACGAGGCGACAGAACAATGGTGCTGCTTTGATTCAGTGCCTTTGAAGCAGCAAAGCAACTGAGACTTAAGTTGTTTTGACTTCCTTTTAAGCGGTTCGTTAAGTCAGATGGCTGGTATTGATATGTGTGGCTGACTCAGCAGCCATATTTGACCCTGAGGCCTCCCGCAAGCGTTGGTGAATTACATAAGAACTGCGTCTGCCCCTGCAGTGATGTAAATATCCACCTTCTGGGGGAGACTGCAGGCTTTCATAGGGAGCACATGGTGTGAGGTAATCAATGCTGCTGCTAGTGAAGGCAAGAGTGGAAACAGGTCTGTGTCATACTGTGTTTTCCTTTTTCTTGATGATTAACTACTATGACAACATTTACATTTGCATTCGCAAACATATTCATGAAGCTGCCGTATTTAGCCTCTGTCCACAAACTTCCTGAGACCACATATTTGCATCTAGACAGATTTGTAGTGAAGCTTACAGACATGTTATCTGACAGACAGAGGATTGGAAACTTACTATTGAAGCCCAGATGAACTTGGGAAATTTCACATACTGATACTATTCCAAGATCACAGGTCTTGGGACAAAAAAGGAGAGAGATTGTGTTCAAGAGAAATGTGACACTCTTACAGTGGAAAAAGGCACTCGCAGACGTTGTGATGGAAGAGAAAAGGTGTCAGACATACTCTAAATTTGGCACGTCTAGACTGTAGTTACTAAGGGTGCGCAAGAGTGGGTGATTTTTGCTCCAAACAATCAATCGGCAGTCAGCTAGTTTGTATTTTGTGTTATAGGTAAATGATGTATATAACGAAAGTGAGGTAAGTACCCTTGTGCTGTATTTGAATGCTTCTGCTGCACCTGTACCAAAATGTAATTATGCACAATTACTGTGCAATATAACCCATTGCCTCTTCCTTTTGATATAGCGCTTTACTGAATTCATATTGTTTAAATAAACTGATTTTTGTTCATTTAAAAACCAGTAAAATATGTGGCAACTTTGGCTAATAAAAGTACTGCTACTAGTGTGTTCCATGTGTTCATATAAGCCCACACAGTGTCCATTGTAGTTATTAAAAAGTGCTGATAAAACACCCATCAACCAGCTTGGCTGTAAAGAATTCAGAATTGGCAATAACAATTTATGATTAATTTTTTATTTTAATCATAAATTGTTATGGCAATAACAACCTCTGGTATTTGCTATTTTTCTCAAATTGGTTCTAATTTACAGGGATGGTTTCCCAGACATGGATTAAGCCTTGTCATAGACTATATTTTCTCCATTCAAAATCCTATGTAGACAAACACTAGACCCTGTCTGGGAAACTAGCCCACCATGTAGGATTTAAACCTCTAGTTTAGTATCTTTCCATTGTGTTTGTGTATAGCTTTATAAATTATCTAAAATACTTAAATACTTAATACTTAACTCTTTTTTTTCTGTAGCTTTAGGATTAGGTTTAGGATTAATATTACACTCTGAGGTTAAGGTTAGAGTTACAGTGAGAATTCTGTCTAAGGTAAGGGAAAAGTCAAGGTGATGCTAATAAATATTTTTGCTGTTGGGACAACCTTGTATCTCCAAAATTATAACTTTGCAGGACAAGGTAAAAACCATCTTAACTTTGAATGGAAGTTAATAGATTTTTTCCCAAGCAAGCTTGGACCGTTACCACGGGCATTTTCAAATTCTGTGGAGGGAAAAATAAATAAATAAGTAAAACCTGGAGACACAAAGTCTTGTACCAAATGTGACAATATATGAGTTAGTGATTTGTCCTGGAAGTTATGGATTTGCAGAAAAAATCCTCCACCAGACGATGCATTGTGCAGAAACTAACTAGACGAAACAATCACCGCCTGAAGGCCTTTTTAACAGCAAAACAAGCATGTTTGGTTATTTTTAGAAACTGAAAGTAAGCAGGACACTCTTGCACTAGTCTTGTGTTTACATTTGTAAATTCAGTGTGACTGACACAGACCAAGCACAACAAGCAAAGACTAACAAATAATACAGATGTTTGAGACATGGTGCTAACAGCTGTGAGCTCTGGTGTCCGGCTAGGTGAGTTCAGATGCCCACTGGACTATTTTTTGCAATAATGGTTAAAAAAAATCCCCTGCTTGTGTCAGAGTCCTGGAAGATGATGAGTGTTGCTCACCGTCTCCTAACTCCAGCTGGAAACAAGAAGGGGAAGCACCTCCGTTCTGCCAGAGCTTGGCAGCTGCTGTGTGTTTACTTTGGGTTTTGCTATGGCGTGTGCACCTACACGTTTCTGTGAGGGGGGCTAACTTTTCTTCTTTTTTGCTCTGGTCCACTCTTGTGCTGTGCTGCTGTTCTTACTCCTTTCATTTGGACTGTTTTTCCAACTTTAAGCAACACTTTCTGGGCAAAGTCACCCCCCCCCCTCCTTATAATGTTGCCAAATATTATTCTTATAAAAGCAGTGATCTCATCGGTTCTAATCTTTGGAACCATGAATAAAACCAAAACTTATATTCTCCACCTGCATTATGTTATCTTTCCTGATGTTTTTCTCAGAGATAGATGGCGTGGGATGGACCTTGCGGTCAGCAGAATGTTGTAATCCTGGCCGTTAGCCGCGCAGTTGCTTTTGTAGAGAAGGGAAGTATCCTGATCTTTCTGTGAGATTTTCCGACTCTCTTTGTAATGCTACAGTTCGGCTGCTCAGCAACACGATCATATGAATTTCTTATCGCTTTATCTGCTGCTACAGAATGGATACAAACAGCAGTTGCTTTGTTTTAGACATTGTGTTGAGGCTTCCGCTGAGCAGAATTCGCAGCCGGATTTGCGCAGTGTGTTGAACAGGCTCTTCTGCAGCCCTCGGCTTGTTTTTCACCTGAGGCAGTAAACATTGGGCTCTTCTCACATCACTTTGTGGAATTTCTGACGTCTCAGTAAAATGTTTGTCCCGCTTACTGTCTGTCGTGGATATTATTAGCTGCTAACCTCCGTGTTGTTTTCTTGGCCTGAGCCGTGGAATAAAAATGGAGCTGACACCGCAGCATTTATGGGTGAAAACAATCTGCCCTTAATGAGGTCTGTTTCCAAGATGAAGTCGGTTTCTGAAGGTTGGCAACTTGCCCTCCTGCAGATTTTGCTGAGGAATGTCTGACTAAGATGTGCCTCCAAATTCGTTCACTTTGTAACTGGGCAGTTTTAAACCACCTGAAGCACATGTTCAGATAGCGTCTAATTAAGTTAAGCAGTACTGCCACTACATTAAAGGGAAATTCTCCCTTTTTTACCTCGAATGTTTTGCATAATGTGATTGTTGTGATGTAAACAAAGTAATTCAGAGTCTTTTCATTCAATTGTGAATGGTACCGCTGTCTTTTCAGTGGTGGTAAAACAAACTAGGGGTTGTGATACCGACAGTGCAGATATAGCCATTTTATTTACTATCCAAAACAACCAGTGACCCTACAAATATCTTTGGAGGTGATAACGGTTGATGGTGATAAAATTTTAAAAAAAAAAAGCATTTTTTGAGTGTTCTCTTGCTGTACAACACCCTGCCTTTCATGCAATAACTTTATGTGAGGTATCTATGAGGTAGGCATTAAACTATTCAACAATTCTGGCTATACGCTTCTCTAGAATGGAGCATTTCATGTCAAACCACTCTGAATGACTGTTTGCATCTTAATGATTTAATTCTGCTGCAATCCTGAAAAATCTGGAATTCTCTTTTAAAATTACATTACATTTATTCTTAT